CAAGTCAGTTGTTTTTTCCAACTTCACGCATGCACACCAAATACCAGAAAGTTTTCTTTGGGTCACTGCTGATTACCATAAGAGTATTTATAAAATGATAATTTTATCGACACCCGATTGTAGCAGAAATGCTTTTATTTTCTACAATTAAAATGGTAAAAGATATTATGTACGTCCTCTCACCTTCTCCTGCATCTGTTGCTTCATAGCGATGGTCTTCTTTTTGTCCTTGCACCGTTTGTTCTGAAACCATACCCTGATCACACGCGGACTGAGGCCAGTCATCTCGACCAATTGTTCCTTCATCAACGCGTCGGGCCGCGGGTTCGCCGCGTAGCACGTCCTTAACGTGTGCAGCTGCTTCTCGTTGAGAACGGTGCGAACCCTGGTTGGTTTCCCGTCAGAACCGCCGCCGCTTTTATGACCGCCCGATCCTCGAGTACCACCCACGCCAGCTTTGTGCGATCCACTTTCGGACCCGGAGTCTGCAAACAAATCAACGTCACGGTTACTCGCGTCGATCTAGCCTCCGCGCGATTCGCCTTCTCCTACGACCGTCACCTGACATACCACGTTCCCACAGAAAAGAATACATAGCGCACGAATAATTCGACGAACGTAAGACTGCATTTGTGCGAAGATTAATGATCGAATGATTTCAGAGCATTGCTCGACATTAACAGTTATTCTTAAAAATCGCGTTATGTACGATAATAAATTATGAAAAATGGTGTAACATGTTTCTTTAATAAATAAACACTGTCCGAATAGGGAATCACAGGTACAAGCGTACCGAGAATTCGAATTTCAATTCTTAGAAACACACAGAGTACGTAGAAACGGTTTCACTAAGCCAAATATCGAGACAGCGATAAAACTGTATTCCTCATCTTAATTAATTACAATTCAGAAGAGGAATCAAGAAAGGGAGACATGTCCACGTGTAGATTTAATTATTTCAAATTCTGCCTCTGTTTTCGTGTAATCAAATTGTAAGAGTGAAAGAAGATAAAGTTATTATCGGTCACAGGTGCTTAAGAAAAGAAATCGATTTCTTGGAAAAGAGGAAATTAAGTCAGGAGAAGGATGTAGAATGTCCGGCTTGGACTATCTCAACCGGTCCTGCGAAACGTTTCTTGCCAGCTAATGGCAGATCCGGATAGTGGTTCACAGCATGGCGGATCAACAGCGTGGCTAGTCGAGAGAACAGAGACGATATCGTTGTACCACGATTCTGTAGTCCACTGAGACATGTCAGAATCGTATGACAGCGTCCATCGAGTTTGACGATCGGCGATTTGGACATGTTACAATTCAATGATGAAGTAAAATTTTCGACGTGACTTTCGCTGGCAATTAGAAGGTATGTGCATTAAATTCTACGATAGTCGATTAAGACGTCGTGTTTACACGTGCATTGATATAATACGTTATCACGCGGTATCGCGAAACACTGCGACGTCTTTATGTTCCATGGAGATTACAAGCATCCATACGTCGTTCATCTCCCTTCTTCTTCTGAATATCTAGTGTTCTATGCGCGTGGAAAGTTCATCAACACCTTATGCCCATGTAGTACACGGTTTATCGCGTCCATTATCATCGATGGAGCAAATAGAAATTGCCTGATATTTATGTCGAACCTCGCTACAAGCCGGGCGCAGGATATAAAACGAATTTCGCGAACTGCGCCTCCCTTGTTAGCCCCGTGAGCGAGAGAGACAGAGAGGAGATAGGAAAAAGGACGAACAGGCAGGAACCTTTCCGATCGATTTTAGCCGGCCAAACAGCGAAACCCATATGTAAACGGCTGGACGAGGGACGAGCGTCGAATTTCATTAACTCCCAATTAACGAGTAATAAGTAACTCGTGCCGCGATAAGGATCCAGTTTCCTTGGCGGTGTCCTTCGGGAGGATTTGGTAGCCGGCACACGAGATCGAATGTTTGCGCAAGGTAAAAACGAAAAGGCAACCGTGAGCAAACGAAATCCTGCGCCTATTTCTGACCGAGTCCTAACCAAATATGCGGCCACAAAGAAGGAACCGCGACAGGGACAGGGGAGATAAAAATACGGAGGACCAGAGTCGAGCCACCGACCTGAGGATCGCAATGATGTAAGCTCGCAATTTATTCGTCCGATACAAGTGTCTGCCGTTCGAATAATTTTTCACTCGGCGAAGATGCTACCCTCTGAATCTTAATTCTGCTGTCTATAGAATTGAACTGACGTTCAAAATAATGAAAGCTGATCTTGGAAGAGGCTGGTAGAGAGAACGGTACCTCGGACCGTGTATAATAGGATGAACGTTAAAACCGGGCAAAGGGGAAGCGACTCCCGAAAAACCGGAGGTGAACGTATATTATATGTATATAGAAAAAAAAAAAGTTGAATAAACGTCCATAAACGGAGGAGATGCGTGCGTAGTTATGTGCCACGGTAGTTGGCAGAGACGTGTTACATTTGACACCTCGGCTCCTCTGTAAAGAGTTGTCAAACCACTCCCGTCGCGCGGCGATCGTGGCTCGTGGATGAATATCCCCGGGGAAAAGCGACTCCGCTTCCAGCCGCGACACGGTTTCCACGTGGAAGCCGATGTGACAAACACGATGGAAAATACTCGCGGCTCGCGCCACTCCTTATACCACGAATATTGTTTACGCGGTAATTAGGAGGCGTACGTTCTAGCCGGGTCCTCCTATACAATTCCCAATTATCACCGATTAACTCAGCGTCGTGCCACGTCGTTAGAGCGATCCTCCAAATATAATTTATCGTCAGCTCGTGTAAATAATGAATTAGTAATACCGCTGAACCGGCCGTGTATAAATAATAAACCACCGTGACTTTTTTTATGCCACAACTCTCCTACAGTGTCACACGTTTCTTTAACCGTGCATTTCTTTACGAGTTCGGTAGCCAGTTTCGTGGTATTTGTCAATTTACACGAGTGAATTTTTTGATACGGTGATTACGAAACGACTCAGGATTTTCTATTAAAACCGGAGTATAATTTCGCCTAGGAATATATTTGACGATCGTTAAATTGCTGATCTGCACGGTCGACTGGCGTTAAACGATGTTTGTGAATCGGGTAACGTGACACCATGTAAATGGTGCGAGAATAATTAAGTTAGTATGAGAGAGGAAGCGAGCTTTATTAGACGTTTAATCCATCGGATCCGCGGACTGGGTACTCGCATATTAGGACAGCCTCGCGTCGAGGAACGGTAATCCTGTGTAATCCTGGCTACGCGCAAGAGGGAAGTGGTCAAGCCTTTCGGGTCTTAACGGCTTCAATTATCAACACCTAATTATTACCGGTGATCCTAACACAACACCGTTATATCAGAAGGGCCCTTTGAGTCCACCCTCGAGTCCCTCGCAAATTTTCCCTTTGTGTCCACGATACTCCGTGTCCAGGCGACTAATCGGCAAACAGGCGATAAAAGTCGGTACACTATTATCCCTTCACTTTTGTAATTTTACTAATTCGATTGAAAAATGATCACGTAATCGCGATTCGATAAAGAAAGATTTTTAATCTATTAAAATTGAAAGTTCTGTGTCCTACATAATAATAAATTATAACCAAGTTTCTTGATTTAAAAATTCAATCACATATTTGAGATCATTTCTAATAATTTGAAATCGATAGAGAGAGATGGCATTACCTGATATCGAACCGTCGTTCGGGTGCAGATGGTGATTATTATTCATAAGGGATGCGTTGTTGTTGTTCTCGCTTCCAGGAACGCCGCCGGGACCGGAGCACAGCTTCCCGCCTTCGAGCACGTCGTGATCGTGCCTGCAGAACAAGCCGTCCTGTCTCAACGCGAACTCGTCTCCAGGCACCAGCTGCCTCATGCACGCGGAACATCGGAAGCACTTTATGTGATAAATCTTGCTCTTTGCCCTCATCACGTAGTCGTCCTTGCTGAAGCACTCGCTGCATTTGTCGCACTTCGTGCCGAACAGTCTGTAACGAAACCACGGTTCTTCTCAGAACTCGATTTACCATGTCACTTGCTTTGAATGAAAATAAAAATATATTAAATAATAATATAATAATGAAATTAAACAGAGATTCATTACGAATTCTGTAATTTTTTATCGGATTAGACAGACTATCTTTTTCGAACTTTGCAGACAAATTTATTTCGTGGCTCGTAGAGACACGTACAGCGTGCAAGTTTTCCGTGAAATTTCACTCGGCTCTAGACTCCATCGGTTAATTATCGGTTTTTAAGCTAATTGTACTTTGCCCGGTGTACTTCGTTCGGTTTCTACGAAACGAACCAAATTGCATTCATTAGCAAGGCCCTTCTAAATTGTCGAACTCTATTAATAAAAGGCTCTGCGCGATACATAATTTCGTCGGCCTCGCGGCCGTCGCGCCGCGCCGCGCCGTCGCATCGTTTGATTAATTATCAGTCACTCGAATAATCATATGTATACCACGTCGAGTTTCATCGATAATGATTAACTGATACAAGCATCGCAGTGGCGCGTTCCAAATACAATAACAATACGTACTCTTGTTTGTCTCCTACATAATAATAAATTATAACCAAGTTTGTTGATTTAAAAATTCAATCACATATTTGAGATCATTTCTAATAATTTGAAATCGATAGAGAGAGATGGCATTACCTGATATCGAACCGTCGTTCGGGTGCAGATGGTGATTATTATTCATAAGGGATGCGTTGTTGTTGTTCTCGCTTCCAGGAACGCCGCCGGGACCGGAGCACAGCTTCCCGCCTTCGAGCACGTCGTGATCGTGCCTGCAGAACAAGCCGTCCTGTCTCAACGCGAACTCGTCTCCAGGCACCAGCTGCCTCATGCACGCGGAACATCGGAAGCACTTTATGTGATAAATCTTGCTCTTTGCCCTCATCACGTAGTCGTCCTTGCTGAAGCACTCGCTGCATTTGTCGCACTTCGTGCCGAACAGTCTGTAACGAAACCACGGTTCTTCTCAGAACTCGATTTACCATGTCACTTGCTTTGAATGAAAATAAAAATATATTAAATAATAATATAATAATGAAATTAAACAGAGATTCATTACGAATTCTGTAATTTTTTATCGGATTAGACAGACTATCTTTTTCGAACTTTGCAGACAAATTTATTTCGTGGCTCGTAGAGACACGTACAGCGTGCAAGTTTTCCGTGAAATTTCACTCGGCTCTAGACTCCATCGGTTAATTATCGGTTTTTAAGCTAATTGTACTTTGCCCGGTGTACTTCGTTCGGTTTCTACGAAACGAACCAAATTGCATTCATTAGCAAGGCCCTTCTAAATTGTCGAACTCTATTAATAAAAGGCTCTGCGCGATACATAATTTCGTCGGCCTCGCGGCCGTCGCGCCGCGCCGCGCCGTCGCATCGTTTGATTAATTATCAGTCACTCGAATAATCATATGTATACCACGTCGAGTTTCATCGATAATGATTAACTGATACAAGCATCGCAGTGGCGCGTTCCAAATACAATAACAATACGTACTCTTGTTTTTCACTTAAAGATTATTTAAAATATTTTATATAAATATTCCTTATTCTTCTAAACTCTTTCTCCTAACTAAGGGAATCTTGTTAGGCGCAGCATGTAACACTTAATAAAGACCTCGCATGATTATGCAAACAGTTACGGACGCCGGTGAAGTCTTTTTGTTTTTTGAGCCCCGTTACTTTTCGTCGACAACCAAATTTACTCCGGGAACACCCAGGAGTCGAACGTTTTACCCCACGGTTGTTTCGACTTTTCGTAGGAGGCGACAGAAGCAACAAACAGGCGTCATCGGTGTCTCTCAGGCCGTGGCGAATCCGTGTCGACCGGATATGCCAGTCCCCACGTCTCCTTTTTCGTTTCGGACGCGTTTCGACGTTTGACGGATCAATGCAAATAAACCCGACTATCCCCGGGCCAGAAAAATATTTGCCACATCTTCGCCTCGTGGCGGAGACGTGTCGATCAATGTGCTGCGAGCTTTAAAAAGTCCCGCCACTCCTTTTCGATTACGTTGAAAACGTTGCGTCGTTTTGAACCAGTGCAATTTATGCACCGTACGTAATCCATTGTGCGTGCATGCCGATGTCATTAAACAACCAAGAATCATCGACGCATTCAGTTTATTATTAGAGACGATAAAGTTTATAGCCAGTTAATAATTCCTATACAAGCTTGCTTTGCATTTAAATCAATTAGGTGTTTCAACAATCGTTACAAGTTTATGGCAGCTATTTTGTAACATCATCTTGTTCTCATCTTCGTGTTCGATTGTTCGATTCTCGATGCGAATTGAGACAATAGATGGACTAAAAATATTTTTCGAAACAAGGAACTGCTGTTGCCAGAAAAATGCGACTCGAATCAACGGTAACGATATACAAAGATTCAATTAAAGACGCGCTTGCTTGTTCTTCAGTTTTACGTCGGAACCGGTCGAATTTGTTTATTTGTACTCTTTACGCAATTCGGAGGGAAAGAAGTTGGAGTTCGCGTCGCGAACCGAATGGCATGAATTCTGGCCTGTTTTATTCCGTAAGTCCGCAACCACATGTGAATACGTGCACTTTTGTTTCTGTTACGGATGATGCATTTCACCGTACACGTCAGATAAAAATATACTGTAAGAAACGTTTTCGTCGGCCCTCTACTTTCCTCGCTCTACTCCCTGTTTTTGTACCGCTTTTCAATCTTGCATTTGCGTGTATCGCGTGCCGTTTCAGAGTGCAGTTTCACACTTTCTAATTCGAGAGATGAAGATCTATAATCCTGTACTTTTACTTTTCAACGTTCCTGTTTTATCTATGAATTAGATCTTGTATAATAAATCCTCTACTCACGATTATTGGTTCTCTACAGAATTTTTTTATTATTTTTGCATATGCAAATTTGGAGTTTATTTCTTTATTTGGAAGTCTGTCGTGAGAAGGAAACGGAAGTCTAAGCCAACGTAAGGGACGCAATAAAGGCATTAGTAACTGACTAATGAATACTTGACTTGATTTTTGTTAAACATTAATGATTCATGTTTTTTAATTATGCAAACTCTGCTGGATTGATCGCTCGTTCTTTTTTAAAGCCGAAAAATAAAATGATTAGTTACCTGACGTAATCGCGTTTGCAGTAAGTTTTTCCGTCGCGCACGAAACAGGTGCAGTGCTCGTCCAAAAATTGCTGGCACTCCGCGCATTTCAAACAAGCTGCGTGCCATTCCAGGTTCGGCGCGACTCGCAAAATCCATTGGTCGTGAATTCGTCCGCCGCAGCCCACGCAATGCGAACTCGTGCTTTCTAAAAGAGAAATAAAGCATACGCCTCTTTAAATATTCTCCTCCGCAGAAAATCATAACTGTATCGATTACGTTTCGACAAAGTTCCTGTTTTTTCAGTAAACATTGTCGGAGTCCCAAATGGAATTTCATAAACTAAGTTGACTCGGTCAATTGATCTCAAATATTTGTGTTCTATAATCGATGCTCAATTGATAAAACAATAATCGATGAGAACGGAGAGAGTTTTAAGAAACTCTTTTCTGATTTCAATTGAACCCCATCGTCGTTCGTCATCGTTTAATTGCCGTCACATAAACGCGTCCCACGCGAGGGCATTGAAACGTGTAACAGGGGAAAAAAGATTCAGCGGACGGAGGTTTATTGTCGAACGAACATCCTTTTCGGTAAATCGTCTATGGGAGAACGGTGTCCCGTCCACTTTTCATCCATTGTCGAGGCGCGTAGAGAAACGCGTAGGCCGTCGCGCAGCGTCGTTTCAACGCTCGCGCCGGTCCAGACACTTCTGGCGAAAATTACAGTCGTCATCTTTTGTTTCCGACGAGTGGGATGCGTGCAAAAAGCGGCCGAGTAGAGATTTCACCGAGAGAGCTCTATTGATAAGTTTTAAAAGGGGAACGCGGTGGGATTCACCACCGGATCCAATTTACCACTTCGAACTCGCGTCTACAAAGGGTGTAAAAATAAATGAATTTCTTCAAGAAATTCGATTTTCTCATCTGATGTTTAATCAAATAAAAGTATATCGTTCATTCGAGATTTCAAAAATAAATTGCTTTCTTTAGTTCACTTTGAAAGAAATCCTAGAACAGAGATTTATTTGTTTCTAACTTACAAAATTATAATCACATAACCAAATGGAAAAGTACATCTAATCTTGCTTCAATTTGAATCGATCAAAGTATTTATCAAAACGCAGCTCGTGCAAACATCGTGAGAGCAGCGGGTGTACACGAATCCAGCGGTATCGGAGAAGAATCGGCGGCAATCAGCGAGCGAGACGGATAACAAAGAGGGTGGCGGATGCAGCGGTGGACGCGCCTAGGAGGAATTTTTGGTGGACGCCGGGCGTCGGGGCGCGTTTGCGCCCTGGATATCCGGAACAAATGAAACTGCGGGGTGGGAAGCGTAGGCGGAGGGGAATCGTGAATGCAGAAGGACGAACAGGGGACGAAGCTGGGCGGCGCGCTTTCCAGCTCGGTAGCTCGAAACTCCGCCCAGACCTCTGTTGGCTCGAGCCGGCGCGCAGCTTCCTCTTCCTCTTCCTCTTCTTCTCCTGCTCGAGCAGATTCACTCGGAGATGCGAAAATGATAACCGATCGGCGGAGGTGTTCGAAATTGCGCTGCCCGAATGTTCGACTCGCTCGAAATTCGAGTTTTCTATTGGTCCATTTTATATCCGATCCGGAAACTTGGAAAAATCGTTCGAAAGAACCGAGCAGGTCCAGAGGAATCAAAATGCCTGATAGAAACTGAGCAATGTGAATATTTAAGCATTGCGATTTCAAAGAGACCAGAAGAAACAATTTGAAATTCTTGGATTTCTCAAGCTACCCCATTCTCTCAAACTGAACAGAGATCCAGTTTTTTATCTCCTCCAACAACTCGAATCGAGTAGCTCGAGAGCTGCCTGATAGAAATTAAGTTCGAATTTCAAGAAAACACAAGGACACAATTTGACGTTCTTGTATTTTACGAGATGTTTGGTCTTTTCGAGTAGTCTGATCGAATCGGTTACAATTTGGTTCGCTTTTGTCCGAATACTCGAACAACCCTAGTTCGAACAATTTTTCGGCGCGTCACTGGCCCGCCGCGTCAGACGCGTACTCTTACTACTTACGTACTGACGAAGTAATTCGACTGACACAATATTTAGCCTGATTCCTTTATGGAGATCGTATAATCAATTTCGATGACATCAAGAGTTGACTACTAAGTATATTACCTTGGCCTGATTACATCAAAGAACTTGGGACAACAAGGACATGATAGACGTTGCACACGAATCATAAAATGCCACTAAATATTGAAAGTTCCGTTGAATTTGTTAAAGACGATACATTTGCTTATACGCAAATGTAAAGGAAATAGACTGAACAAATTCAGTTTTACACGCGATTAGGAAGATAACGAAATTGTTTGAAAAATAAAGTGCGATCGATTATACATGGTTGGTGGCAGAAATTGTAGTCAGAGTCACGTTTGAAACTCCGTGCCTAGGCGTTGTCAAACTTGTTGTGTTGCATCAGTGACGATAAGTCGTTTTGCATTACGTTTTAAACTACGCTTTTCTAGTCAGTTAACGTGATAGAATTTATCATAAATTTGTCTAAATGAACCATAAACGACAAGATAGTGAAATGTGGACGACAGCGAGCATCGTCCAAAGATAAATTTGTAAGTTCAAATAGCCACTTGTTACATAAACATGTTATGCAGGTGTAAACAATTATTTGGCAGTGTTCGCAGTATGTATAAATATATGTATTAATTTTCTTCGGAACTGAACGTGCCACTGAAAATTCACAATTCTACAGAATTTTATTTTAATGAAACAATACGAACTGTCTCCCTGTTTTCCAATTCTTGTCCTGAGTATGAATTTCATAATTTACCAATGATTCCACAAATAGATAATAATAATTGTGACAATAGTAATTAGTAGAACGCGTTTGCACTTTTCATAAAATTATAGATAATTAAATAATCGTGTTTAATCGTTTGCATACATTCGGCACGAGCCTGAGCTTTTTAAATAAATTCTAATCGAGTACAAACTTTTACTATTTAATTATGACAATTATAAATTGCTCAAATTGTTCGAAAAACTGCGAGCAATCGTGGATCTAAACGAGAATTACGGTCATTAAGAACGTGTATACGATTAGATTGCGGAAAAGCTATAGATACCGTGTGTTTTTCATGCTTGTTTGTCTGTATCGCCTAGTTCGACTTCCGACTTGGTGAAGTTTCATCTGTAAAAACCGGTAAACAAAAGAGAAAGAGAGAGAGAGAGAGAGAATGGATATTCCTGAAAATGTTTCCCAACCGGTTGAAAAAATAAGAAGAATCCCCGCGTCGTACACGATATTGCGGATGCGCTTGCAGATAAGTTTTCGTTTTTGCTGGTTCTATCCTCGCGCGCATACGGCCCGATGCAAATGCGCATTGAAAAGGGTTGAGGATTTACGGCCACGGATAAGATTCAAGAAATGAGGAAGGAGATGCGAGTTAAAAAAATAAATTCCCTTCTCTAGGTCAGTATTTCGTTCGAAGAATATACGTATGAAACGTGAGAACTGAATGGAGACGTAGAGATCGTTCCCCGAAGACGATCAGTACCGATATTGCGACAATAAACATCTGTAAGCAATTCTAGAGAATCAAGTAATATGAGGCGATATAAAGCAGACGTCGAATAATTATCAGCGCGGTCCGCGTGCCACGACAATGACAAGGAGTGTACAAAATAACTTGACAAACGAGCGGGCTTCCAGGCGACGCAAAAATCGATCATTTCTAGTGGCGATGCTCGGGTGCCGGGTACACCTCGGGCCTCAGAGGCATGAGGCCCGCGACCACCGTGAAGGATGCGGGAGAGGAGGCTGCGGATAAGGTCAGGACGCGTATAGCCGTAGGAACAAGGGGAGCGGTGGAGAGGACAGGAGTCGCGGAGGTAGAAGGCAAGGGCAAGTTCGGCCAGGATCAAAGAGATTCGAGGGAGAGGAGAGTGTCGACGGCGTCCCATTAGCTCCCAGAGACGACAACCAGCTCGTATCTTCGAGAGCCGCGCGCTCCGATACAACCGATGCACCGAACCCTGCAACGATCCTCTCACACACACATACACTCTCTCTCTTTCTCTCTTTCTCTCGCTCGCTCGCTCGGACTTCTTATAAATATAGAACGTATGGATTTATGATACTCGTAAGCGATGACGAATTCGCCGGCGTCGCTCGTATCCAATATTTGCCTGATGTTTTATGTAGGTGACAGGTGTGCTTCTTATGTCCTTGCAAGCAAATTTTACAAGGCCGTACCGTTAAAATTTCTTCATTTAAAAATTCGTCATTTCATATCCGCAAACTACTATTATAAAACACTCGCTAATCAACAACTGCTCGTATAAACGATTTAACATGAGAATATCGTCAGAATATGCGTGTAATTGAAAGTATAGATAACTGCAACGCATCAAGGAATCATGGAAGAGTCTGCAATTTCTATGAAATGCTTCTATATTGCTTAATAAGACGGTGCGAGACTCTGAACTCAAATCGAAACGACCTTTGCGATGTTTGAGCAAACTTATCGCGTAAGACGGGAACTCCAGTCGTGTTTTTAACGTTTTATCCGTCAACTCGTTAAGGAAGTAAATAAAGAGCTCGCCAATTACCTGCCACGAACCACCGAAACGTTTCTAGGTCGTGTTTCTAACGTGTTTGTAATATGTGGTTAATAATCAATAAGCTAAAATGTTTGCAACCCGTTCGTACAACGTCCGAAGACTATGAATAATACATAGGTTTTTAGTAAAATATGTTTTGTGTTTAAATATCGTCGATTAAAAATGTCACAGAATATTTATGGATCAGGTAATTCTCATATACAATGGAGGACATTTTCGTCGCTGATTTTTACACTTGAGTTTCACCGATCCGACTAAGTTTCCTTTAGAGCCTCCGCGAACGAGACAAAGTTGGAATAAAAGACTGTAAATCTCGCGGTTATGAACGAATTCGAGGACTGGGAGCAAAATGGATCTCGAGACACGAAAAAGAACAATAACGATAAGCAGGGATCGGATGGTGAAAGAAAAAGGGCGAGCACGTTCAGGGGGGATTTTGGAGTAGGTAGGTAGGTACATTTGCTACCGGTAGAATGTGGGTGGCGAATCAGTGTCAGCTTTAAGATCATGTATACGCATACCGTGCATGATACAGTTTGCCAATTTCGGGGCCCCAGAAGTCGATAATATATGCTTTAATAAAAAGACGTTCA